TGAACTAATGTTCTCCAATGATGATGGCAGAAGATTAGTTACACGAACATTTATAACTTCAACAATTTTAACAAACATATAAGTTTCACTCCAAATAAATAGTCACTTTTGTATAGGTGAAGAGAGAGCTTGCTCGAAAATAATACCAAGATTCCAGTAGTAAGCGATAAATAAAAATTGAAAATGGATACGTATAACTCCAAATTACTCTCTAAACTTGCAATAAAATTGGTTGAAAAGATAAAAATTCTCTATTTGGTTACCATTTCAAGTTCTTAAATGTGATCCAAATTAAAGGGCAGCCTAAATAGACAAGCAAGACCACCAAGCCCAATAAAGTTCATAGCCTAGGAGGCGGCCCAAAATATACTTAATAGTAGCCCAATTAGAATAATCATAACCGTTATGCCATTTTTTCATCTCAAGCCAATAAAGAACCATGACCCAAAAGGAATAATTACGGTCAATAAATTGAAACATTTAGTGGGCCCAAAAGCTTTATACAAGATGTGGAATATAAGGCCGAAGAAAAAAAAATTCTTGCAAACTCCCATTATATGAATTAGCAACCCAAACGAAACCTATAAAACTCTTGGATCTAAAAAAGTTCAATAAGTTGATAAGGGCCACAAAATAAGAATAATTAGCTTATAGGGAAAAGATGGGCCTAGGGGAAGTAATTTCAAGCCCAATTTTACATTATTCGAAAACCCAATCAAGAGTATTCTTCAAAAATGTTGACTCACCAACAACAAAGGTATATATTAACATGTAAGAGCCAACTTCATTGACCAGCAAAAAGGGTTGAAATAGACAGCTTTTCTTGGTTTAAAATGCACGCCATCTTCACGTGTTGTCTCCATCAACATTGAATGTTGACACAGTATACAAAGCAAGAGTGAAGACTATGCACTGCCGACTGCTTCAACGAATTTAATGGTGGTTGCCGAAGATAATGTTTGCCATGGCTAACTAAACATCCATAGGAGGAAAAATCTTGACCAAGACATTCAATCGAACACCTTCTGGGCATCATCAAAATATGAAACTTTCCTTGAGAAATTGCATGTTCTTACTTCCTAGTTTCATCAAATTCTGATGAAATTGCTTGAAAAGATTCTTTTGATGTTGGAAAGAATATTTTGCACTTGGCTACTATTTGTCCTCATTTTTCGTGGTTGTCTTATGAAACATGGTGCTGGAGAACTCCTTTATCACATCAGCTTGTTATAGCCATTTTCAAGATGGGTTTGTCCAACCCATTTTCAAAAAAAAACAAAAAACAAAAAACAAAAAAGAAAAAAAACAACCATTCTTCTCAATTTTTTTTTTCAACACTTGACCAGATTTTTCCATTTTCGCTATGGAAAACTTCGGATGCTTTGTATCTGTGGCCCATTTTCTTGAGTCTAACGTTAGAAAAAACTCATCATAGAATCCCTAAGCTGTCAAGGCTGTTTCCATCTTCTTGAAGCGATTTTCCTCATTTTTGGTAGATGACTTCTTCAATTTTCTAGTAGGAGAAACTACCCGAAAAATTCTTATACTTGCCAAATGTCTTATGAAACATGGTGCTGGAGAACTCCTTTATCACATCAGCTTGTTATAGCCATTTTCAAGATGGGTTTGTCCAACCCATTTTCAAAAAAAAACAAAAAACAAAAAACAAAAAAGAAAAAAAACAACCATTCTTCTCAATTTTTTTTTTCAACACTTGACCAGATTTTTCCATTTTCGCTATGGAAAACTTCGGATGCTTTGTATCTGTGGCCCATTTTCTTGAGTCTAACGTTAGAAAAAACTCATCATAGAATCCCTAAGCTGTCAAGGCTGTTTCCATCTTCTTGAAGCGATTTTCCTCATTTTTGGTAGATGACTTCTTCAATTTTCTAGTAGGAGAAACTACCCGAAAAATTCTTATACTTGCCAAAGTAATGTTTTTTATTTGATAGATATTTCCATTCCTTCGTTCTTTGGTCACTGCCTTTACTTTTGGAGGAGAAACTGACCGAAAAAATTCTCTCCTGTTCTCCGGTGGCCTTCAGGATGTAGTATAACATGATTAATATACCGTTTTTCACAAACGGCGCTAATCTGTTGATCCCAAAATATGTCGTCAATAGATCCCTAACCTCATCCCCTCCAAACCTGCACACAGAGCACCCCATAAGGAGGCAAAGGTCATCAATGGAGAAAAATGTCCAACAATTGTTTGCACTCCAACAACCAAACCAAAGACTGGACGAAAAGAAAATAAAGAGTCTAAAAGTCGAGAGAAGGAAATTGGCTAGAGTTTAAAAACATGTCGGGAAATGAAATGAATTATAATATATATATAGAAAAAGGAGATGGGCCTGTGGGCATTAATGGGCCTTGTCTAACTCCAATAATAAGACCCAATATGCAATAATTTATAGGGAAAATTGCAGTCAAAATATCAAACTTTTCATTTATTAATAGATTTTACCCAAATCTTTAGTTTGTGCTACCCACGATACCAAACATTTCAAAAACTCACAGTGAAAGTCCATATGGATGAAAACTGTTAATTTGATCGTTAGTTGACCAAAAATTTAATATTGACCATTATTTTAACTAATTTTAAAAGGAGAAAATAGTAACTTTACATTTTTCAACAAAAAAAATAATTATAATACATTAATAATTAAATCAAAACACAAAAATACTATTCATCTTCTTCTTCATTTACCCCCTACCCACCCACTCCACAAAACCAAATCCCACCAAAATCGATACCCACCAAAACATCTCTCTCAAAAAAAAAAAAAAACCAACTTTCTGGGTTCATTTTTTACGGTGGGTTGTTGTGATTGCTACTGCTTTCTCGTTCTTGATTGCTTCTATTGGCTCTGCCCCCGCCACCACCATCTCCGCCTAGTGAGAAAAAGCCAGCGATGTTGACGCCAACTCTAGTCCTTTTCTAGACTTCAATTTGAGACTGACAATCCAGGACGGAACCGCCAAACAGAGATGAAAATGACCCCAAGAATAATAAGAGCACGCCTTAGTTTCTCCGGGTACTGTTTTGATTTCTTGAATTATGGGCGTAGGAGTGTATATAAATCAATTCTATGGCACGATCGGTTGACAATTCCTCGGATTTTTTGAGATGTTTTGGTGGGTGTCGATTTTGGTGGGATTTGATTTTGTAAAAAAAAGGTTGAATCCCAATCTTAGGGGCCCCCACCGACCCTGCTCTGGGCCATCGTGGAGGAGGTAAATAGCAGAATGTGCCTCCCAGGAGTCAGGGTGGAGAGCACATGGATAGGCCAAAGCTGTTAACCCATATGTTAACTCCCGCTTGCAACAAAGCCAATTCCACCTTGCGGGGAATCGAACTCTACATACTGCCGCGCTGAACCCTATCCGCCCTCCCCTTTGCCAATGGAAGATATGCCCTGGGGGCAGGGATTTGATTTTGTAGAGTTGGTGGATGGGGGTGAATGAGGAAGAAGATGAATAGTGTTTTTGTGTTTTGATTTAATTATTAATATATTGTAATTATTATTTTTTTTTGTTAAAAAATGCAAAATTTCCATTTTATCCTTTTAAAATTAGTCAAAATAATGGTCAATGTTAAATCTTTGGTCAACTAACGATCAAATTAACAGTTTCCACTCATTTGGACTTCTACTGCGAGTTTTTGAAAAATTTGGTATCGTGGATGGCACAAACTAAATATTTGAACAAAATCTGCTAATAAACGAAAGATTTAATATATCGACTACAATTTTCCGTAATTTATATGTATAACTGTAAGCAAGTCGTATATTTAGAGGTTAAAAAAACAAATATAAGAAATTCGAGAGACGGAATAATAAAATAAATATTAAATGGATTCTTTCCCCTATTTGATACCCATTTTGGGGTAAATGTTTTATGAAATAAAAAAATTTAAAGAATATATGACTAAAAAATAAAGAATTTTTTTTGAAATAAGTATATAATTATTTTATGAATAAATGTAAGATTAAAAATGAGATTCAAAAAATTACTTTTTTAAAAAGATGAGGCTCAAACAGGAACTTAATTTTGACAATATCTTAAAATAATAATATAGGCCATGCACAAATATGGCCGGTTTAAATATACATGAAATTTGTTATGAAACATCTTTTTGTACAGGAAATCTCTAAATTTCCATAGATTATGGGAATATCTGATAGTCATTTTTATATAAAAATCCATTTTAAAATAGTAAATTGATGTAAAATATGTGTTAAAAAAATAAGAAAAAAATTTTAATTTATATATAATATTATTTTAATAAAAAATATATAATTAAAAAGAAAAGAGAAAAAATTACATTTTAAAAAAATATTACCAAACGGGCCTATGCCTATTTTTTATTTGGGAATTCAATTTAGCACTTTCATCTCAGAATTTCTGACACCGACTTAACAAAAATTTTTAAGAGTCATCTTTATTTTTCAATTATACCCCCTTTAATGGCAAAAAGAGATGATTTTCATCTCACTAGTGTACATTTTTTTTACCGTTGCACAGTAAACGACTCTTTCTTTATTCAAAATTTCTGACACTAATTTCTATTAAGAATTGTCTTTATTTTTCAATTATACCCCTTGAATTGCTAAAAAAGATAATTTTCATCTCACTTGTGTACATTTTTTTACTGTTGCACAGTAAACAACTCTTTCTTTATTCAAAATTTCTGACATCGGCTTAACAAAAATCTATTAAGAGTTTGTCTTTTTTTTCTTTTTTTTTTCAATTATACCCCTTTAATGGCAAAAAAATGATGATTTTCATCTCACTGGTGTACATTTTTTTACTATTGCACAGTTTATTCAAAATTTCTGACACCGACTTAATAAAAATCTATTAAAAGTTGTCTTTATTTTTCAATTATACCCCTTTAATGGCAAAAAAATCACAATAATTTTTTGAATACTAGGTAATTGGGTTGACGGGTAAAATTGGTCTCGCTGTCAGGAATTTACTCTGCAACAGTAAAAAAATGTGATAAAAATGATTCTCTTATATGTAGTCCAGTCATGTGCCCATAGAGATCACGAAATACAGATCGAATGGACGAGTAAATTGGAACATTATTAATTTCGCAAACGAAGAAATTGCCTCAAAACATTAGCCCATTGCTGGACGGTTTAGGGACAGAGTGCGTTTGCTCACAATTCAATTCAACCAGTAACACCAAATCATCTACAATCTACCAAAAATTACGAATTCTAATATCACATCTCACAAATTTTGGATAAAGAAAATATAAGGCAGAAAATTAGAAAAAATGTGCCAGTAGGATAAAGGGCCTGAAATTTCAGTAACAAATTCAGGAGAGTGATACTGGCAAATTATTATCGCAAGTTATGAGTAAAATAATTGGCTGGATCGTTGATTTTACCGGGATCCAGTCAAGAAGCTGAACTTGCTCGCAATAATTTCTTGTCTTCTATCAGACGCATAACACAATTCAATGGAAAAACAAAATCATATACACACCAAAAGAGAATCTAGCAGAGCTAGGGTTTTCAAACAAAGAAGACGAGCGACGAATAAATAGAGATGGATGGGAAAGATGAATGTGAATTAGGGTTTATTCTGGATTCGGACTTCGTGAAAGCAATGGGCTAAATATTGGCCCTTTTAAGTAATAAATGTTTTCAAAACTTCGCATCTTCTATTTTGATCCAATCTATTGATTCGTAACTTTGTCCCCAACCTGTGCCTTTTTGCCATTTTGGATCTCAACTTACCAGTTTTGGTGCGGCATCGGTCCTCGATAACGAATTCTTACTAGTTGCGAGTTGCACTAGCCTGGCCACTAGGAGGAGAAGGGTCTTTGTGTTGCATTAGCCTGGCCACTAGGAGGAGAAGGGTCTTTCATTTTACCCTCTAATTGTATTATGATTTCATCATCCCTGCCACCAGAAATCAGTACCAAAATACATGTACCAGAGAGAGAGAGAGAATTTTTTTGTAAACATCGGCAAGTCAGGATATCAATAAGCCTCGTTAATTAAATTCAAAGAGATATTCACCTCTCAGGCATCTAATTGTATCATCATCCTTGCCACAAACAATCAATAATCAAAAGAATCAGAAATGGTAAAATTCGAAGGGTGTCTCCCATCTTAACGGAGGCATTCGTAATGTAATTTTAGATCTATAAAACTCTATAATTTACAAAATCAGACGGAGCTCGAAAACTATATGAGAATTATGGATCCAAATCAATTTGAAATGCCAATTACACCAGATGGGATAAACGGGTTCCCCAAAAGGAAAACCCTTAAGGTGAAACCCATAAAACACACTCAAACAAAAACATATATAACACAAAAATGTATATATAGTATGAGTGAGCGTGTATTAAATTGATATAGCGCTGCTATGACTCGAAACGCTTCCATGGATGGCAGTGGAAGGCGATCTTAAGGGCTGCGCATACGAACAACTACTGATACTGTAAATGAAAATTTTGAAAATTAGAGAAAACCTAATCTGGGAGACTGCAGGGGAAGACGGAAAATATATAGGGGGAGCGTTAGCCAGGTCGATGACCTTGGGCCAAATTGGCCGAATTTACATTGGGCCTATGCTTTATATTTTGGAATGAGAAAAAATCACAATCCAGGTATATTACCTTGGCTACTTCAATTTTCAGATTTTAAGTTTTAAAATTCAAAACTTAGGTGATAAATAAATAA